CCAGCAGAGAACTGGTTCCTGATTCCTCTTGCTCTTTTCCCCTCTTTCCCATGGGCAATGGATGACCTCCAGAATTTAAGGAGAAACAGATGCATGGATAGCTTCTTCTTAGACATCATCTTCCGAGTCTGATGCTGAAGTCTCCGAGCAGGACAATGATGATGACTGGGACCAGGAGCAGCTGTTCTGTGGCTTGAAGCATTTTTCCAGCTTCTCCCAGTCCTGTCTGCACAGCCTGGCTTGCAGCTGCTTACAGAGAAGAGGGTTGGGAAGCAGGGATGTGCCTGACCTGACGGCTGGAAGGGGAGCAGGTGTCTCCAAGCTACACCTCTTGGGTACAGACACTAGTGTGAAATATTCAGGATCAAAATTAAAGGAAAACATACCCATCTATCAGCAGCAGAGCAACTAAAATCAGGATTTTTATTTTTTTTTTTCAGATTTATGATATGCCTTTTATATCTTGCTGTGAAGATGCCACCTTCAATCATCCTAACTCCTTTCTTGGTATCTGTCTTCCTAATACACTACTCTCACTCCCACCACTTCCCTGCTTCCAGATCTCTCTCTGGTTAGCTGGGCAACAGGCAGTGAGGCAGATCTGGAGATGGCAGATGAGTCAGGGATTATTTGTTTGCTGTTACATAGCAGAACAAGCAGTTGAATATGCTCCATTGGTACTACAGACCTTCCCCCAGTAGGGCAACCAATTTCATGTTGCTGTGGATTCACATTAAACATTTTAAGAACTTAAATCTCTCAAAGAGCTTTATCCTTCTGTCAAAATCGTTTGCAACTGGACATTACTGGGGAAGGATGGACAGATGGTATAATCACATAAGCCTGCTTTCATGGGAACCCACATTAAAAGGAAAAAAACACAACCCAAAACCACAACAAAACATGCAAAAATAGCAAATACAATTATGTTCCTTTTTGGAGACTGGATGGAGGCAGAAAGACTTGACAGTTTGATGCAGATTATGCGGTGATTGGGGTCAGAAGCAATGCTGAGAGCCTCTTTAAAATGTTCACAGCCCTTTGGACAGTGCTTCCCTGTGCTGTGCTGCACCCACACCGCTGCACCCCCGGCTACCCCCGCACAGCCTGTGGGGTCTGCTGTCCCAGGCCCACCCGAGCTGGGGAGGGAAGCTGCTTCCTTCCTCACGTCCCATTCTCTCCTGCCGCTCAGCAGGACGGGGACCTTTGCTGGGGTCTGCAGAGGCAGCATTTCCGAGCAGGGTGTGTTAGAGAAGCGGCTGGGTGGGCTTCTGGTGTTTGGTGCTGCCCCAAGCAGATGCCAGCACAGCAGCTTGTTGTGTCTGCAAGCAGGCACCTCCACACTGAGTCATAGAATCACAGAATCACAGCATCCCAGGGGTTGGAAGGGACCTGGGAAGCTCCCCCAGCCCAACCCCCCTGCCAGAGCAGGGGCACCCAGAGCACATCACACAGGAACGTGGCCAGGGGGGTTGGAATGTCTCCAGAGAAGGAGACTCCACAGCCTCTCTGGGCAGCCTGGCCCAGGGCTCTGGCACTCTCACAGCAAAGAAGTTCTTCCTGAGATTCACATGGAACCTCCTGGGCTCCAGTTTGCACCCACTGCCCCTTGTCCTGTCACTGGGCATCACTGCACAAACCCTGGCTCTGTCCTGGCACTGCCCTGAACAGATTTGTGCCCATGGATGAGGTGGCCCCTCAGTCTCCTCTTCTCCAAGCCCAACAGACCCAGCTCCCTCAGCCTTTCCTCAGCAGGGAGATGTTCCCCTCCCTCCAGCATCTCTGTGGCTCTGCCCTGGACTCTCTCAAGCAGTTCCCTGCCGAATCCCAGCGCCTAAAAGGTTATTTCCCGTGTTTCCGCACAAAACAAAGCACCCCAGCTCATCCCCCTCGCCAGAAACGTGACGGCTCCGCCGCTGGGGGCGGCAGGCGGGAAACCCACGCAGCCCACAGCTGAAGAGCCAAGTCCCCACAGGCTGGTGAGGGTAAAACCAGCTCTGTATGGCTGCGGGGGGGTAA